TATCGTTGACGTTTGACAAAAATCGCTGACGTTGCTCAACCAAGGAAGTGCGTGATTTGTCGATAGCCTCCATTTCGAGACAAAATATGCCAGATGGGCTTCTCGAGATGCCGGACGGCATGATTACCATGAGCTTCGAAACAACACGTCGGCCGTGAATGCTGATCGCCTGACACGGTACTGTACACCTTAGATGCAATGCACCGACGACATATGATGATGCTGTCGCGTGGCGTCCTTCAATCACCAGGCTGTAAAACAATCGGGCATCGCACTTGTGATAATGGCGCCCGTCTGGTCCCACGCTGTTCCTGTGGTTTCTGCTAGGGGCTACCACGTCCGATTCATATCATATGTCTGATACAGTGCTAGAAGTACTATTGGCACAACTAGATGGCTTTGGTGGGTGGGAGGGAGAACCAGGTCAACGCGGGCAAGATGAAACTCACAGATTTGTCCAACCGCGCGTGTGCCCTAGGGTTTTGTGATAAAAGGTTTTCTACTTATAAGATGGAAAAACACTCAAATTTCTCCGCTTACAATATAGGGCCCAGTTCGGCAGGCATTCTCGCCATTATCGCCATGATGGGCATTCCATTTTAACGGGCCCCCAAAAAATGGCCTCCCGAAACTGATGCGAAAGCAGACTGCAGCTGCAGTGAAACCTCGGAAAAAATGGGCCCGTATGTTCGGTGGCATTAAATGGGCCAATATTAATGGCATCAACCGAAAACGACACTTCGCAGAAGCCCTTTTGCACCTGCGCTGATGGAGCGCAGAATCACTGTACTGGCAGCCCGGGCAGCCCAGAAAACCAGCTGGAAACGTCTAAAAAAATGGGTTCAGCCCTGATAGAATAGGAGAGTGTGTGACTAGGGTTTGGGAGGAGAGATTGGCCAAGAAGAAGGGGTTTGACTACGGAGAGAAATACAAGAAATAGGGCAAGGGAAGGTGGCCAAGGAGGGTATACCACCTGCTACGATCAGAAGTTGATCGTTCCCAGGATCTACTCGGGAAGGTTCGCACACAGAGAAATGAAGTTGGTGGGCCCTTGACCTCAATAGCAGAGTGAATGTAAAATGCTTGAGATGATTAAAACATGCAAGTACAACGATATAAATATGAGTACAGGGAAGACGAAACGTCCTAGCTAGCCATGTACTCTAAGGGGTACATTCCCTTATTCAAATTCATTCCCAACCGTGCGGCGCGTACAGTTACGAAACTGTTTCCGCCAAAGCCATCCTGCTTGGAGCTGTCCGATGCCATCTGCTCCGACGGTCCAGATGCGCCTTAACCGTCTGACGCTTCGAGTCAACTCTGACTCTTCGTGTTCACTCTCGATACTGTCAAACTGTATATGTTATATACTTGTGTAGGCTGTAGTGGGGTAGCCCATAAAGGGTACAACCCAATGTTAGGGTTAGGATATGTACCCAACTCTGTTTTCAATGCCATCATTCCTGCCTAGTGATTCTAACATGGTATTCAGAGCAGGAGGTCCCTAGGACCTCAGGATCGAATTTTTAGGGCCACCACCTATTCCATGCGGTTACCGTGCTACCCCACGCTCTGCCTTGCTTGCTTCCCGCGCGCGCCTCCGCTGCGCGCGCACATACCTTTTTTTTTAGCGCGCGCCACTGCTGCCAGCCGCGTCGCGCCCCGCTAGTCGCCCGCGCAGCCCGCCCTGAGCCCGCGCAGCCCGCGCGCGGCCTGCAACTGCCCCGCGCACCGCCCGCGCTGCCCCCCGCGCAGCCCGCGCAGCCCGCGCGCAGCCCGCGCACCGCCCGCGCGGCCCGCGCCGCGACCTCCCAGCCTGTCGCGCGGCCCGCGGCTTCGCGCGCCGCCCGTCCCGCCGCCCGTCCCGCCGCCCTGCCCTACTCCTGTCCCCCCCCCCCCCCCCCTCTCCCCGACCTGCAGCCGACGCGGCCCCGACCTGCCACCTGCCCCGTTGCCCGCCCTACCGCCGCTCTGCCCCGACTGCAGCCGACGCGGCCCCACGCCCCGCCTGCCAAACCCGCCGCCACCTGCGGCCGCTGTTGACTGCAGCCGACAGCCTGCCTGGCCCCGCCCTGCCACTAACGCCGCGCCGCCCTACAGCCGACGCGGCCCTACTCTGCAGCCGCTTTTGCGGCCCCGCTGCCCGTTACTGGTGAGCCTGCCTGCCTGCCTGCCGGCCTGCCTGCCTGCCTGCCTGCCTGCCTGCCTGCCTGCCTGCTTGCCTGCCGGCCTGCCTGCCTGCCTGCCTGCCTGCCGGCCTACCTGCCTGCCTGCCTGCCTGCCGGCCTGCCTGCCTGTCTGCCTGCCTGCCTGCCGGCCTGCTTGCCTGCCTGCCTACCTGCCGGCCTGCCGCCTGTCTCTGCCTACCTGCCTGCCGGCCTGCCTGCCTGCCTGCCTACCTGCCTGCCTGCTTGCCTGCCTGCCTGCCTGCCTGCCGGCCTGCCTGCCTGCCTGCCTGCCTGTCTGCTTGCCTGCCTGCCTGCCTGCCTGCCTGCCGGCCTGTCTGCCTGCCTGCCTGCCTGCCGGCCTGCCTGCCTGCCTGCCTGCCTGTCTGCCTGCCTGCCTGCCGGCCTGCCTGCCTACCTGTCTGCCTGCCTGCCTCCGTGCTTGCCGGCCTGCTGGACTGCCTGCCTGCCTGATGGCCTGCCGGCCTGCCTCACCTACCCTGCCCGCACTGCTACTGCTGCTGGCGGTGGCCCGATGCAGCCCCAGCGACTTTCGCGCGTGTCACACCCCAGCAGTCATGAGTGGTACACTAGTTGGGGTTGTGGCGGTAGCCGTCGTGGCTGTCGCCCTGGAGCTGGTCAGTCGGGAGCGTGGCAGTGGACAGCTGCAGCACTGGCAGCGGCGTCCGCGCGAGACACTTACGCCCCAGCAGCTTCGTGAGTGGTACGCTCAGAGTAGAGGGTCTCGGAGTACCGCTCGCTGCCAGTACGTCATTCGCACAGGTGCTCGGACTGGTCAGGCCTGCGGGACCCCTGGACACACACAGTCCCGCTGTTTTGCCCGTCTGAGCGACGCCGTGGCGTACCAAGTTTGGCGACGCAGCTGAGCTCCCACCTGGGTGGAGATGCTTAGGCAGGGGGTAGATATCTTTGCTCTTGACTATGATGCTATTCTCACTGCCATGTATGCGTTGCCTACTAGTGATGCCGGTGCCTGTTACCTGTGCGTGCCGCCTGACCCCGGTATAGAGCCTGCTGCTCTTGGTGCTGGTGAGGCTGCTGCTCTAGGTGCTCGTGCGTCTCCTCCTCCAGGTGCTGGTGAGTCTGCTCTCTCTAGTACTGCGCCTGCTGAGGCCTTGTACACCTTCACGCTTGACTCAGGTGCTTCCCGCTCCTTCTTTCGCGACTGCACCACACTCACGCCGCTTAGTCGGCCCGTTGCAGTCTCCCTGGCGGACCCCTCTGGGGGTCCAGTCCTTGCCCACTACTCCACGGTTCTGCCGTGTCCGGCCGCCCCGTCTGGCTCGCTGTCCGGTCTCTACCTCCCCTCGTTCTCTACGAACCTGGTGAGTGGAGCTGACCTCCAGGATGGTGGGTTTGACCAGTTCACTCCTGCGAGTCAGCGAGTGACCCACTGTACGTGTGCTCGGACAGGCCAAAACCTGGCCACGTTCACCCGTGCGCCTGGCTCGAGTCTGTACACCCTGACCACTGCGTCCCCTCAGGTAGCTGCGTCTGCGTCCAGTCAGCTAGCGGCCCCTTGCTCGTGTCGCGGCTCTGTCGCACCAGACTCTCCTTTGGCACCACCACCTTGGTCACCCCTCGGTGCAGCGCCTTCGTAGCATGCACCGTCGTGTCCTTGTCTCTGGTCTTCCCAGGGTTCTCCCTCCCCTCTCGCCCTTGCCTGCTCCTCCCTGTCTTCCCTGTGTCGAGGGGCGGCAGCGCGCCGCTCCTCACTCCTCCTCGTTCCCTCCCACAGAGGCTCCCCTGCAGACTCTCCACCTAGACGTGTGGGGCCCAGCCCGCGTCCGTGGACAGGGCCACGAGCGGTACTACTTCCTGCTGGTCGTCGACGACTACACGCGTTACACCACGGTCTTCCCCTTGCGGCGCAAAGGGGAGGTCCCTGCTGTTTTGATCCCTTGGATCCGCGCTGCTCGTCTCCAGCTCCGCGAGCGGTTCGGGACGGAGTTTCCCGTCCTGCGTCTGCACTCTGACAGAGGTGGTGAGTTCTCCTCCGACCTCTTGGCAGCCTTCTGTGCGGAGCACGGCATCCGCCAGACGTTCACGCTTCTGGCCTCTCCGCAGCAGAATGGGGTTGCTGAGCGCCGCATTGGCTTAGTCATGGAGGTCGCTCGTACCTCCATGATCCATGCGGCTGGCCCCCATTTTCTGTGGCCGTTTGCGGTCCAGTACGCCGCGCATCAGCTCAACCTCTGGCCCCGTGTCTCCTTGCCGGAGACCTCGCCCACACTGCTGTGGACGGGGAAGGTTGGCGATGCATCGCGTTTTCGGGTCTGGGGTGCTCGTGCATTGTTCGTGATACCACCGCGGACAAGCTCTCCGCCCGCGCTATTCCCTGTGTCTTCCTTGGCTTTGTCCCTGACGCGCCTGGTTGGCAGTTTTACCACGCCACCTCGCGCCGTGTCTTCCCCTCTCAGGACGTCACGTTCGACGAGTCGGTTCCCTTTTACCGTCTCTTCCCCTACCGCACTGCCCCTCTCCCCCCCCCGCCGCTCTTCCTCGCTCCAGGTGCTGCCCAGGTAGACCTCCTCCCCACTCCCGTTCCTTCTCCTTCAGGTGTGTCTCAGGTTGACCCTCCTCCCTTGACTGCGCCAGTTGAGGTCACTGGTGACTCAGGTCCTGCTGCAGTGTGGTCCTGCTCGGGGTGCTACTTCTGGGGGTGCTGAGCCTGGGGGTGCTGAGCCTGGGGGTGCGGAGCTTGAGGGTGCGGAGCCTGGAGGTGTGGAGCCTGAGTGTGAGGAGTCTGGGGTGTTGGGCTTGGGGGGGGTATTGAGCAAAGGGGTGCTGCACCTGGGGGCACAGAGGCGTCTTATGAGCAGTCTCCCTGCAGCGACCGTCTCCGTAGTCGCTCCGCTGGTGCCTCGCCGCTGCACTCTCGACGTCTACTCCCTCTCTCCCCACGCAGCTGTGTGAGTGGTAACTTGGCCGTCAGGGTCGCGTACTGAAGCTAGGGGCCCTGCTGCTGGAGGCGCTGGAGCTTGTGACTCTGTTCCTGGAGTTGTTTCTGCTGGAGGTTCTGGTGCTGCTGCTGAGGTCCTGGCGCTGGTGGCGCTGGAGCTGGAGGTTCTGGAGCTGCTGAGGGTGCTGAGCCTGTGAGTGTGGAGTCTGGGTGTCCTGAGTCTGGGGTGCGGTGCCTGAGGGTACTGTGACTACTGGTGCGCGGTCTCCTTGGCGTGCCGCCTTCGTTCGCGTGTACCTCTCACCTCACAGCAGCTGCACGACTGGTACGATCGCCGCAGGTTCGCACTGCTGGAGCGAGCTCGCCGCTCTGCCGCTGGAGGTGCTTCTGCTGACGCCACTGGAGCTGGGAGTGGTGCTGGTACTTTGTCTACTGGAGGTGCTGGAGTGCTGGTGCTGGTGGTGCTCGTACTGGCAGTACTGGAGCTGCTGGGACTGGAGGTGCTGTGTCTGGGGGTGCTGCTGCTGGAGACACAGAGGTTGGAGACCCTGGGACTGGAGGTGCCGGTTCTCGGGGTGTTGCTACTGGAGACGCTGCGGCTGGAGACCCTGGGACTGGAGGTGCCGGTTCCGGGGGCGCTGCTGCTGGTGGAGCTGGTCCTGGAGGAGCTGGTGCTGGAGCCGCTGGAGCTGTTGGTACTGGTGGCACAGCGCAGACGCGACTGTTCTTCCCTGCGCCATCTCAGTCGTCCCCGCCACCGCCTGACTCTGTGCTTCGCCAGGTTCTTAGCCTCCCGTCTTCTACTGGTCTTCCGTTACAGCCTGGCTCACCGCTGCCTGCTCCTTCTCCTTACACTGAGCAGCGCGGGGGTCTTACTGAGCGTCGTGAGCCTGCGTCGCGTCCTGTCTCGCCTGTTCCCACTGGTCGTACCGGTCGTCGTGTTTCTCGTCCGCGTCCGCCGGCTGTCTCCGGTGTGCACCTCGTTGTCCGTCGTCCTTCCTCTGTTCCACAGTCTGTTCCTCTGCCGTCTCCTCCTGCGTCCTCTCTGCCTGACGTTCCGGACCCTGAGTCTGACTGGTTTCGTGCTGCGCACCCTACTGTTACGCGTCTGTTAGCCACTGTTGTCACTAACCCGTCGTTTGAGTCTGCTGCTGCGTCTGCCTTGGTCGCTAAGCTTGTTGACTTTGCTGCTGCCTGTCGTCTAGACTACGCTGCTAGTCTTGTTGCTGAGTCTCCGTCTGTCTGTCCCCCGTCCGTCGGGGGTGAGTGTGCTCTTGGCACGGACGTCCTTGAGGACAGACAGGAGGACCTTGAGTGTCTTGCGGCCGCTGCGCCTCATCTCGTGGCCATGCTGCTTGCCCCTGAGCAGAGACCGGATGCTCTAGACATCCCTTCCCCGCGCTCTTACGCTGACCCGTCGCTGTTTCTGCGCACCAACACTTCGCTGCCGCCGTTCTACATTCTCGTGTACGTCGACGACTTGGTCTTTGCCACTGTTGACACTGAGGCTCTCGCCCTGGTGAAGTCGGAACTGCAGAAGAGACACACGTGCACAGACCTGGGTGAACTACGTAGCTACCTTGGCTTGCAGATCACCCGGGACAGAGCACGCCGCACCATCACACTGACTCAGTCACACATGGTGCATGCAGCAGGTCCTTCACTCGGCTTCACTTGGTCCTCGCCACAGTCCACTCCTATGGCTACCGGTCACTCGCTCTCAGCTTTGCCTTCGGATGAGTCCGTAGAGCCGAGTGGCCCGTATCCAGAGCTTGTGGGCTGCCTCATGTACCTGATAACCTGCACTCGACCTGACCTTGCGTACCCCCTTAGCATCCTAGCTCGCTACGTTGCACCTGGGAGACACCGGCGAGAGCACTTGGAGGCTGCTAAAGGGGTGTTGCGCTACTTGTGCAGTACATCGGGCATGGGGCTTGTGCTTGGAGGGCAGAGAGACGTGGTCCTCACTGGGCACTCAGACGCTTCTTGGGTTGACGACCAGGCTACGCAGCGGTCGTCACAGGGTTACACTTTCAGCCTGGGCCTGCTTCTGTTTCTTGGCGTTCTACTCGCTCGTCTTCTGTTCTCAGCTCCAGTTGTGAGGCTGAGATCTACGCCACCACCATGGCTGCTCAGGAGTTACGCTGGCTCACCTACCTGCTGACCGACCTGGGATGTCAGAAATAACTGAGCAGGAATGAATGAACTAGAACAGAGTTTGGTACAAGTAGGAAACCCTAACTTTGTGTACCCCCTAAGGTGTAACCCACTACAGCCTAGACAATATAAACATGCAATGTTTGACACACCCCCATAGGCGCAGTGGGAAACAACCACAGGGTCACAAGACCAGTCAAAGCAAACAAGCAAGCTCAGGGTGGATCTCAAGGATTCCACACAAATTCCGAGCACAAGCAAGCGGTCACAAGACCAGTTCACATGCAGGTTTATAACAAAGCAAGAGATACAGTGATCACAAGCTAGGAAAAGTAAGCAAGAAGGCATATATATATAGTGATCACAGTACAAGTAAGGTCAAGAGGTAAGCAAGTGAGGCCCAGTAGGTACAAGGCCTAGCAGAGTGCAAAAGCGCTGATGGTCACAAGGCTGAAGCGCCTTGGTGAACACATCAGCAGTGTTGGCCTCAGTGGCCACGTAACGCAGACAAAGCTGACCACACTGCTGCAGCTCTCGAGCAAGGAAGTACCGCAGAGCGATGTGCTTCGTTCTGTGCTCCAGTCTGTGCTCCTCACACAAGGCAATGGCAGCCTTGTTGTCGACGTACAGCACTGGAGGAGAACGAGGCTGCTCTCCGAGGTCGGTCAGCAGGTAGGTCAGCCAGCGTAGCTCCTGAGCAGCCATGGCTGTGGCGTAGATCTCAGCCTCACAACTGGAGCTGAGAACAGAAGAAGAACGAGTAGAACGCAAGAATGCCAAGAAACTGAGCCAGAGCCAAGGCTGAAGGTGTAACCCTGGGACGACCGCTGAGTAGCCTGGTCGTCTGCCCAAGAAGCGTCTGAGTGCCCTGTGAGAACAACCCGGTCTCGCCCTCCAAGCACAAGCCCCATGCCCGACGTACTGCACAAGTAGCGCAACACCCTCTTAGCAGCATCCATGTGCTCCTTCCGGTGACGGCCAGGAGCGACATAGCGTGCTAGGATGCTAAGAGGGTATGCAAGGTCAGGTCGAGTGCAGGTCATCAGGTACATGAGGCAGCCCACAAGCTCTGGATACGGGCCACTCGGCTCTACGGACTCATCCGAAGGCAGAGCTGAGAGCGAGTGACCGGTAGGCAGGGGAGTGGACTGAGGCGAGGAGTACGTGAAGCGAAAGCGCTGGAGAAGACCTGCTGCACCATGTGTGACTGAGTCAGGGTGATGGTGCGCCGTGCTCTGTCCCGGGTGATCCGCAAGCCAAGATAGCTCGTCAGCTCACCCAGGTCTGTGCACGTGTGTCTCCTCTGCAGCTCCGACTTCACGTGAGCGAGTGCCGCGGTGTCAGCAGTGGCAAAGACCAAGTCGTCGACGTACACGAGGATGTAGAACGGCGGCAGCGAGGTGTCGGTGCGTAGAAACAGCGACGGGTCAGCAGTAGAGGGAGCGAACCCAAGAGCCGCAAGTGTCGTCCTCAGTGTGTCGTGCCACTCACGTGGCGCCTGGCGGAGACCGTAGACCGGCCGCTGAAGCCTCCACTGGGTGCCAGGAGGAAATGACCCAGTGAAGCCAGGGGGGCGGCGCAGCCAGATCTCCTCGTGCAGGCTGCCCTGCAAGAAAGCAGTGCTGAAGTCAAGAGAGTGAAGCTCGTAGTCGCGGTGAGCGGCTATGTGCAGCAGCACCCGAAGAGTAGTCATCTTCGGGGTGGGGGAGAAGGTCTGAAAGAAGTCTACTCCCTCTCGCTGACTGAAGCCTCGAGCCACGTAGCGCGCCTTGAAGACAGGTGGAGAACCCGGCGGCCGCTTCATCCTGAAAATCCACATGCCACTGACGATGTTCGCCCCAGGAGGGGGAACCTCGTCTACGTAGGTGCCTGTGGACTTCCAGGAGGCCATCTCTGCGTCCATGGCTGTCTGCCACTGAGAGGAGTAGGGACCCGCCATCGCCTCAGCGTAAGAGCGTGGGGTCGGGATGTCTGGTGCATCCGGGTCTCCCTCAGGGGCAACTAGCAAGGACACGAGACGGGGCAAAGCAGCAGCAAGGCAGTGGAACTCTCCTGTCTGTCCTCAAGGACGTCCGTGCCGAGGGCACACTCACCCCCGACGGACGGAGGACAGGCAGACGCAGACTCAGACCTAGCGACAAGGCTGGCAGCGTAGTCTAGGCGACAGCGAGCAGCAAAGTCAACCAACTCAGCGACCAGGGCAGACGCAGCAGAGGACTCAAAGGTCGGGTCAGTGACAACTGTAGCGAGGAGACGCGTAACGTGGGACTGGCAGCACGACGGGAGTCAGACTCCGGGTCAGGAAGAGTAGGAAGAGAGGACGCAGGAGGAGACGGCAGCGGGACACGCTGCGAGGCAGTGGAGGGACGCAAGGTCATGTAGTGAGTGCCAGGGACAGGAGGAGGACGCTCACGTGGGACACGACGACCAGTGCGAGCAGTACGAACAGGCGACGCAGGACGAGACTCAGGCTCACGACGCTCTGTAAGACCTCCTGTGGGACAGCGTAAGGGGAGGGAGGCAGGGAGAGGCGAGACAGGCGGTAACTGTGACTGCTGCTGGACAGGCAGAGGACACTCGACGGAGGGAGGAGGACAAGGAGGAGGAGCCTGACCAAGAACCTGCTGAAGGAGCGGTACGAAGTACGGTCGCGGTCGCGCAGCGTCTCCAGAAGCAGCAGGGACACCAGTGGCAGCCGCAACGCCCGAGTCCTCAGCACCAGCAGAAGCTCCAACGCCCGAGAGTCTCAGCACCAGCAGCAGCTCCAACACCCGGGTCCTCAGCACCAGCAGTAGGGCACTGGTCAGGTCCTCAGCACCAGCAGCAGCACCACCGGTCGGGTCCTCAGCACCAGCAGCAGCTCCAACGCCCGGGTCCTCAGCACCAGCAGCAGGGCCACTGGTCAGGTCCTCAGCACCAGCAGCAGCGCCACCGGTCGGGTCCTCAGCACCAGCAGCAGCTCCAACGCCCGGGTCCTCAGCACCAGCAGCAGCTCCAGCCCCCGGGTCCTCAGCACCAGCAGCAGCTCCAGCGTCCGAGTCCTCAGCACCAGCCAGCAGTACCACCGCTCGGGTCCGCAGTACCAGGAGCACCACTACGAAGACTGCAGCGCCGCGTGTACCACTCGCGGATCACCTGAATGGGGGGGAGCTCCTGGGTAGGAGGGGAAGTACCGGGACGAAGTTCCAGAAGCACCTCTCCGAGCGGCGGCAGTACTCGAGGTACCTCTCCTGCAGCTGCTGGGAGGAGGGGGCTCCTCCAGGTGGAGCACGCTCAGGCTCAGCACCCCCAGACTCAGCACCCCCAGACTCAGCACGTCCAGACTCAGCACCTCCAGGCTCCGCACCTCCAGGCTCCGCACCTCCAGGCTCAGCACCCCCAGTCTCCACACCTCCAGGCTCAGTACCTCCAGGCTCCGCACCTCCAGGCTCCGCACCTCCAGGCTCAGCACCCCCAGGCTCCACACCTCCAGACTCAGCACCCCCAGGCTCCGCACCCTCAAACGCAGCACTCCCAGGCTCAGCACCCCCAGACGCAGGACGCGAGTCAACAGCTACCTCGACAGGCTCACCCGGGTCTACCTGGGACACACCTGAGGGAGCGGCACCCTGAGGGGGGAGGGGGTCTGGTACCTCAGCACCTGGAGCGAGGAAGAGAGGCGGGGGGGGAGCGGGGCAGTGCGGTAGGGGAAGAGGCGGTAGAAGGGGACGGACTCGTCAAAAGTGACGTCCTGAGAGGCCAGAACCCGGCGCGAGGTGACGTGGTAAAACTGCCATCCAGGCGCGTCGGGAACAAAGCCAAGAAAGACACAGGGAACAGTGCGACGCGAGAGCTTGTCCGCGGACATGTCGCGGACAAAAGCTCGAGATCCCCAGACCCGGAAACGCGACGCATCGCCAACCTCTCCCGTCCACCGTAGAGTCGGGGAAGTCTCCGGCAAGGAGACACGGGGCCAGAGGTTGAGCTGATGCGCTGCGTACCGGACCGCAACGGCCACAGAAATGGTGGAGCAGCCGCATGGGTCGGGAGGAGGTACGAGCAACCTCCATGATCAAGCCAATGCGGCGCTCAGCAAACCCATTCTGCTGTGGAGAGGCCGGAAGCGTGTACGACTGCTCAATGCCGTGCTCAGCACAGTAGGCTGCCAAGAGGTCGGAGGCGAACTCACCACCTCTGTCAGAGTGCAGGCGCAGGACAGGAAAGTCCGAGTGAAAGCGCTCGCCTAGCTGGAGACGGGCTCGGCTGATCCAGGGGATCAAAACACCAGGGACGTCACCCTTGGCGCGCAAGGGGAAGACTGTGGTGTAGCGCGAGTAGTCGTCAACAACTATCAGGAAGTACCTCTCCTGACCCTGACCACGGACGCGGGCCGGGCCCCACACGTCCATGTGGAGCGTCTGCAAGGGAGC